TTTTAGCGTTCGAGTCATGGGTTCTACCGTCTATAACCGGTGACCTCCCGCGGCATTCGTTGGAACCGTCTGTACGGGATAAGTTTTCGCACTTGGCGTTGGCGGACCCGGATTTCCATATCGCCGCGCCGGTTGATCTATTATTAGGCGCAGACCTGTTTTCATCTATTATTGACGGGCGTCAGGTTGTTGTGGATAAGTCGTTGCCAGCCGCGTTCAGTTCATGTTTCGGGTGGATCCTTATTGGGTCAGTGTCGCCGTCAGATATATCGATCCCGCAACCACCCGCCGTGTCTCTACTCACGTCCGTGGAGCAATTAATCGACCGGTTTTGGCACATCGAAGAGCCCGACGTAGCCCCGTTGAAGTTTACCGACGCCGGCAAATGCGAAGCCGTATTCCGTGATAATGTTGTCCGTGACGAGTCCGGCCGTTTTTYGGTTCCATTGCCGTTTCGTGTACCGTTGCATGATAATTTATTTCCTGGGTCTCGGGCGGTCGCAGCCAAACGGTTCGATCATCTCGAGCGAAAGCTAAGCTCGAACGATCGAATGCGCACCAAGTATAACGATTTTATGTCGGAATATTTGTCACTCRGACACATGTCAGTGGCGTCCAATCCTGGCCGGTATTTTATTCCGCATCATGCTGTGTGTGGCGCCGATGAAAAATTCCGCGTAGTGTTCGACGCGTCCGCTYCGGTCGCTGATGGTTCGTCATTGAACACTTCGTTATTCCCGGGTCCAAAGCTACAACAGGACATCGTAGATGTGCTCACGCGGTTTCGTTTGTTCCGTCACGCATTTACCACCGATATTTGTAAAATGTACAGACAAATTACGGTCCTTCCGCAATATCGTGCGTATCAGCATATTCTATGGCGACCGTCCCCGCACATGGAGCTCGTCGAATACGAGCTAAATACCGTGACGTATGGCGTAAATTGTGCGCCGTTCCTCGCGCTACGGGTTTTGYAAGAGGTCGCTGATGTCGACTGCCGCGGTTCCGCCCGCGTGTGCGACGCGTTGCGCCACCAGACGTATGTAGACGATATTTGTTACGGCGCCGACACTGTGGACGACGCGCTCAGTATTCAAGTAGAGTTAACGGCTGTCCTTAACGGCGYGGGTTTTGAACTGCGAAAATGGGCGAGCAACACCGTAGCGGTCGTGCATGCTGTTCCGGAAGAATTCCGGGTGATTAAATCTACAACGTTTGCCGGTGATGAGGGTGGTGACACGAAGGTACTCGGATTGTCTTGGCATACCGGTGGCGATTATTTCGGATGCGAAGCTCACCTCGACTCAGCCCCGGTATTTACCAAACGTGGTATATTGTCACTTACCGCACGTTTTTTCGATCCGTTAGGTTTATTCGCGCCGACAATTTTTCTTGCCAAGCACATTATGCAACGCACCTGGCAGTCCAATTGTACGTGGGATCAACGGTTGCCTACCGAGATTCACTCAGATTGGTCGCGGTTCGTCGACGAATTGCCCGCGCTAGCCTCCGTGCATGTTCCGCGTTATTTCAATACAACTGTAAGAGCTCCGTGTTCGTTGTATGGATTTTGCGACGCGTCGCAACGCGGCTACGCCGCGGTAGTGTTTTTGCGCATCCACGATGCTCCTCGCGCGACGTCGGTCATGTTGGTCGGTTCAAAGACCAAGTTAGCGCCGATTAAACCGTTATCGATTCCGAGGCTCGAGCTGAATGCCGCAGTGTTATTGTCGCGCTGGATGAGCCGAATATCTTTATTATTAAATACGCACATCGATATCGTTGACATGTGGGCCTGGACGGATTCGTCGATTGTATTGTCATGGTTAACTGTGCCCCATGACACATTCAAGCAATATGTATCAAACCGTGTTCACCAGGTACGGACGTTGTTGCCGAGTTGTCAATGGCGCCACGTCAGTTCGGAGATGAACCCGGCGGACTGTGCGTCCCGTGGGTTGATGCCGTCTGAGTTGCCGCACCATAAGTTATATTGGCAGRGCCCCGACTTTCTCCGTGACCCTCCGCAAGAATGGGGGAGTGACATCGCGCGTTTGCCCGTTGAGGAACTCCCTGAAGTTAAATCTGTGTCACCTGCAGTTTGTTTAGCTGCCCCCACGGTCGAATGGTTCACGCGTTTCTCGTCTTACGACGCACTCATCCGTGTGGTCGCGCGTGTGCGCCGGTTTATCGATATTTGCCGCCGACGTCCTGTCGTGAGATCGAATGCGCTTACTCGAGGCCAGCCGCTGTTAGCGCTCCCGCCGCGTACTACTGAGTGTCCGGAACGTTCGATCACGGACCGTTGGAAGCTGTTGGACCACTGTCACCAGCACTTCTGGCGCCGTTGGTCGACGGAGTACCTTCATACGTTACAAGAACGAGGAAAGTGGACACGYGATCAACCAAATATTGAAGTCGGACAGATGGTCACCATTAGGGACAGCCTAGCCCCTCCCTTGGAGTGGCGACTTGGGCGGGTGCTCGAGGTGTTACCGGGTACGGATGGTGTGGTGAGAGTTGTGCGCGTTCTGACTTCGCGCGGTATAMTCACCCGTCCTGCAGCGAAGCTCGTTTTATTACCTGGTAATGGTACAGGTCCCCTTATTTAATTATGTTTAATTGCCATATGGCCTATTATTTTGTATTTTTTTTTGCAATTATTACTCATTGCATTCTATTGAATTATTAACCATTTATTATTATATTATTATGTCAAATTATTATTCACCTTACCTGTTGGTTAGCGTTATTTATTTTTTTGTAATATTTATTCGTGACCCYCTTGTSACTTGTCAACGTATTTAGCGTTAYCTATTATTATTATATTATCTATTGTGTCCCTTCTCACATTTTGAGATAATTGTTATTTTATGATATACTTAATCTGTCTATTTTTTATTTACATTTATATTTTTTTTTCCTTCCGGCCTTTTAATATGTATAAACTAGGTCTCAGTATCGGCGGCGTTCAAAGAGGGATGTGAAGCTGCGCCTCCCATGGGGGAGTATGTTTGAACTTCCCGCCGCTTCCAGCGCAACATTCGGCAACCGGTCCGCGAGACAGCGCGTCGCGCGGCCCGCGGACACCGGGGGGTTCGGCCAAGTCGCCGCCGGCGACTAAAACTTGTCTTTTTCGTACGCTCGACTTGAGCGGACCGTGCGTGTATCGCGTCCGGCCGTTATTCGGTGCCGTTTTGCGACAACCT